ATATTGCAGTGGCGCTGGAGAATGAGAAGAAGATGAAAGACAACGCAGCTGAAAGAGAGCCTAGCGTTGCGCATGGTGCAGGATCGTCAGTTGGCAGCCCAACAACGACATCTTCAACGACTGTTGGCGCGGATAATGCCGGAATTTCTTCTCCACTTCCTCTTTCTTTAAAGGTGGAAGGTGGTGTCGATACCAATGTCCACAGCCCAGCAGGTGGTGATGGCCACCAGCCGCATTCCGATGACGTTCGCACTGAAGAAGAGCAAAGGAATCACTCAGAGGCGGAGTGATCGAAACAACACAGGGTGGGCGTGCAAGGCAAAACGATCCACAACAAAGACGAAAAAACACCACAAACAGGACTGAAGTCGACCGAAGCACGGGAGGGCGCGGACGGAGCACCAGCAACATCACAAGACCAAACAAATACGACTGAATCACACGAGGATAAATCCCGGAGAGTGGCAGCACCCGACACAACTCCCGCACTGAATACATCATCAGGCAGCAACCAGGAGCAAAAATCCCAGTCTTCATCTCCCAGTGGCAGTGAAACCACCGGCAGCTCTGATAACAAGGGTACAGAAAAAAACTCCCAAAATGCACAAATATCCGATGCCCAACTGAAGGATGAAGAGCAGCACCATGAGAGTACAGCTGGGAATGAAGAAGGAACAACAGTTGAATCTGCCGCTGTGCAAAGTAATACGACGAAACCTGCCGACAGTGACGGCAGCACCGCGGCCTCCCACACCACCTCCCCTCTTTTGCCTCTTCTTCTTGTTGTTGTTGCGTGTGCGGCTGCGGTGGTGGCCGCGTGAGAGTGAGGGAGAGAGAGCCGTGCACCGCCCGCACACACACTCGTCCTTCTCTCTCTCTGTGTGTGTCCCCTTGCATGGACTCTCGCCCTCACCTCACCCCACGAGGCACACACATAATGTGCCCATTGTATATATGCATGCACACCCATGCAGGCCCGTTGGTGCTCTCTTTTGCACGACACGCACCGCTGCCGTCCTGCATGGCTGCATGGGCGGAGCACCGTAACTGTTTCTGTTTTGTTTTCATTGCATTGAGTGGGCGACCTCTCTCTCTCTCCCTCTGTGTGTGTGTTTTGCTTTACGGGAGCAATGAGAGTGTGTGTGCGCTGGTCGTCCCACGCTTCTTTTTTTGTTTTGTTTTTTGATTTTTTTTCCTGTTTGCTTTAAATTTCTTGCCAGTCTTTTTTTGTTATTAATTTTTCCGTTTTTTTTTTCATCTCTCACTCCCCATTCTTCCTTCTTTGCTTTTGGGGGCAATCACTGTGGACGTTTTTCTTTTCCACTCTTCCCTCTTTTAATTGTTTGTTGCTGCACTCTTCCTGCGAGGGGTGCCGTGTGTTCCCGCCCAACTGCTCCACTCGCACACCCACCGACACGCTCATGACGACGGCCCTGTGCGCCTCGCCTGCTGCACGCATGAGGAGGGGCCGCGACGAACGGCGCGCTGAGGGAGCCGTGACGTGTGGGCGTGCGACGAGGGCCTGTGGGGCGGCGCACACATTTCTTTCCTCTTGTTTTGTTTTGTTTGCGGCCAGGGCTGGCAGACACCCGCAGCGCCACACACACACAGCCACACCCTGCCGCCGTGTTTTTCTTTTCGTTTCTCTGGTTGGGCGTGTGCTGCCACCGTGCGTGATTATTGGGGTTGGGCCGTACCGCATGTATTGCTGCCATCCAGCTGTGCCTCTTGCTGTGCTGATGTGCCTCCCTGTGCTCCTCTTTTCTTCTGCTCCTCCAGCACACATAAGTATTTGCACAGTGCACTGCATGAATGCTCTTTCTATTTTGCTGGAGGCCAGCTGACGCGGCTGCACGATGCCCGCCATACGTGAAAGCACTGCCTGCTCTTGGGGTCATTCTTTTCTCCTCTTTGGTTTTGCCCTGCCGGGTGCGTGCGTTTCTCGGTGTGTGCTGGTGCGTGACGGACGGTGCCACGATGGCCTCCTCTGACGATGGCAGTCGCTGTGCTCTCGACACACATCCACGCTCTCTTTCTTGTCCCTCTGTGTAAGTGATTGCGGCAGGGCATTGCTGCGAGCGTGACGGGGACCACGGCGGCGTCACCCCTCGAGAAGGTCCCACGCTCTGTTGGTTGTGTAGCGGCGAGGCGGTTTGCCTGCAGATTGACTGACAGAAGCGCACAGTCGTTTCATTGCAGTCACTCCATCGGCATCAACCGCTGCGGTGGTGTCCGCAGGAGCCGCCGCCCCGATGAGGATGGCCCCGTAGTTGTCTGGCAGCTCGGAACTTCCAGCCCTTCGCCCTTCAGGATTGCCCTTGCTGCTCGACTGGCGCAGCACCGGCCTGACACCGCTTCTCTGCGGGAGTGCAGGCAGCAGGGCGCCCCAGCGACGCGGCGCGTTGGCTGCGGTGACTTCCAACAGACCTGCAGCGGGCGTGCCGGTGGCGTGGCCCTCTTGGTGCGCCACACCTTGTCGTGCGAGTGCCTGCTGCTCGTGGCACCAACTGCGTGGAGACCACTGCCTTCCGCGTGTGCCCACCGGCCAGCCCCAGCATGTAAGTGGTGAACCTCTGCGGCCTTTTTCTGGAAATTGCTCACGCTGGTCACTTTGCGACCACCATTTGTCGTCTTGGCCCTGCAGCGCCTATTGCGGGCTACCTGAATTCGCACCATGAGCTGCGGGACGGTCGCTCACGATCAACGACGGCAGGAGAGAACCTCGCCGCCACCTCAAGCGGCATGGAGTGTGAGCTGTCCGACGACCCGGCACAGCCAGCGCGGATCAGCGGCCGCAGCGTCTCGTTTTCCGACGTGACTGCGCAACGCGTACTGCGTGTCTCCCACTGGACGTCCACCCCTTTGCATGGACTCGGACCACCATCTTTCATTGTATACTGCAGCAACGAAGGACGGCCTCCCGCGACCGGCAGGCATGCTGCCGCGACGGAAAAATGCCGTCGCTGTTCTGCGTGAAGCCGACTGGAATGCTTCCACCTCGGTGTGTGCAACGCCTCTGGCCACTGTGACCACACGGTTGGATATGCACCGTGCGAGCGGCAAGGCGCACCATCCCGCGCGGCAGCCGTGACAGCCACTGATGAACCTGGACGGTCAGAGCGGAGCAGGCCGAGTGTGTTGCAGCGGCAGCATGGGACGCGCACACAGCCTCACCGGGAGGCAGCCTGCCCCGAGCTGAAGATGTCCGCAAACGGGAGTACCGCAATCATGCCCTCTGCCGTAACTTCTCCATGCTGCTTGTGGTCCGTGCGAAGGAGCTTGGTGCCCTCTCGATCCCACGCCTGTGATGCCGCAAGGCATGGAGGCACCGCGTCCCTGCCCTCTGGGATCGGCCGTGCCGCGGTACTGTTGGGACCGCGTTTGTGCTCTGTCTTGGCAGCAGGAAAATTCGCTCGTCCGTCACACTGTCCGCGTCGCACGTGCTGCGATCCCCAGTGCTGTCCGCACAGTTTGTGCTTGCGTGTCCCCTGGTGGCTGTGATGTGGATGGGTCCTTCACGCCGTATGCGCTTGAATTCACCATCCGTCACTGTTTGCCTTGCTTGGCCCCTGGCCCCGGTGGCGCATTGAATGTGTTTCTGTGCCATCTTGCACCCGCTGCCCGCTCCTCGCACAGAACGATGATCAATACCTCCCTCGCTGACGGCAGCCTGCGGGGTTCCTGCGAAACGGGGACACCACTCCCATCTGCAAACACGGGAAGGACACATGCCGCACGGAGGGAGTTGTTGGCCAATCCCGCTGCTCTCTGTCCTGCTAGGGGAGAGCGAAGGACTGGTCCACCGCCGCCTGTCAGTGAAGAAGCGGCACGAGGGCTAAGCGAGTCTGTATCCACGCCACGACGCGCGGTGGCTGTATGGGTCTGTGTGGGTGGGAAGGTGATGGTGTCACTGAATTTATTGCGTCTGCGCTGCTTTGTGTCGGCGGCTGTACTGTGATGGAGATTGTGTATGACCGGATGCCTCTGCGTGCCACTGTGTTTGGTTAATGTTGTTGCTGCTGTCTTTTATTCTTTTTTTTTTGAGCGTGCAGTTCGAGATACTTTGGCTTTGCCAGCACAACTATCGTTTCAAGGTTTTAGGGATTACTTGCAGTATTAGGATTGGTAGTACTGGGATATCGATCTGGCGGAATCGTGTCACTGGATTCGCCATCTGTAGGAAAGGATTTGATAGACAGGAGGAATGGTCGACGGGGCGAGTGCGACACAACGCGACAGCCCTGCTGATACGTGTCTGAGTCGGTGGATGCGTTCTTCGGTGGATGCGTGTCCGCGCAGCCGGCACCGTGTGCGGCGCAGGGCCATTTTGGCTGTGCGTGTGGCGCTGCTTGTTGTGTTGGTGCTGGCAGCAGCTGCTGCGTGGATGCCTGCGGTGCATGCGGTGGTGTTGCGACTGCGGGGCGGCACGGTGGACAGAGCCATCACGGTTGGCCGTGCCGTGGACACGGTGCTGATGGACGGCGTTTACATCACGAACGGCGTGGCTGTGGTGTTCGACGTGCCGGCGATGCTTCCCGGTGCGCTGCGCATCGAACTGAGGAACTGCGTGTGCGACGGCGGTGCGCAGATCTACGTGCGGGGCTACAGCGGCGAGCCGGCGAGTGACCGGAGCCTGGAGGTGAGCGTGAGCGGGCTGTCCGGGAGCTACTGCTCGCTTGTGTTTGTGCACAACCTGCCGGCACACACGAACGTGACGGTCCGCGACTCGACGATTGTGACGCCGGGGCCGATGCGCTACTCGCAGCTGAGCGGGCTGACGGACGCGGTGGCGTCGCCGCTTGTGCTGCACGCGACGTCGCTGTTGCAGTCGCAGCTGCGTGTGAGCAACACTGTGCTGAGGTCGTCGCAGGCGGGCGGGTCGGCGGTGTACGTTGGCGGCGGCGTGGACCTGCTGTCGGGCGCGGTGGTGCTTGACGGCGTGTCGCTGGAGGCGTCGGGCGGTCTGACCGCGTCCGCGATGCGTGTGGCGTCTTTGTCGCGTCTCAGTTTGCGGAGCCACTCGGTGTTCTCCGTGACGGACGTGTCGGTTGTGAGCAGCGGCGGCGGTATTGTGCTTGGAGAGCGCCTCGCGGTGTTTGATTCGGTGCTGCGCTTCGTGCGCGTCGAGGGGTCTGTTGCGTCGTCGCTGGTGCGCTGCGACGGTGGGACGATCGGTGACGGCGGGTGGCTGGACCTGCGCGACGTGTGGGCGGTGGGCGAGGCGTCGTCCGTGGCGTTGCTGTCGGGTGTGATGCTGAGCGGCGGTGCCGTGTCTACTGTGCGCTGCGCTGCCACCGGCGCGACGCTTGTCTCTGGGCCGACGATCACGAGCGGCACCGTGACCGTGCAGTGCAACCGTGCCGGCGGCGGGGTGCTACAGAGCAGCGGCGACTACCGCATGGCCGGCCTGCCCTCCGTGAGCGTGGTGCCGTGCGACGGCTGTGCGGCTGCGCTGGCGTGCTTTGATGCGCTGACGGCGTCGTTCTCCGACTGCGTGTGCAGCTGCCGTGCCGGCGGCGTGGGCGAGGCGTGCCTGCCGTTCGACGTGCCGCCTGCGAGGGCCAGTGGTGGTGGCGATACTGCGGAGGATTGCGTGAGTGGCGTGACGCTGACGGAGTCGGTGACGGTTGGCGGCGGGCGTGCGACGGCGTGCTTCGACTCGGTGGTGTTCAGCGGACCGATCACTGTGGCGGTGGACCTGCGCTCGATGGACGCGTTCGCTGACGCACTGAACGTGACGCTGCGCCACTGCGTGCTTGCGGGCGGCGCGCAGCTGCGGATCGGCGGCCTCAGCGAGAGCACGGCGCACCTGATGCCGCACGCTTTCGTCAACATGACGAATGTGACGTCGGTGGAGGGCACGATTGTGCTGCATGGCGCGATGCCGCTGCACTCGAGTGTGCTGCTGGCGAACTCAACGCTGCGTGCGACGGTTGGCGGGTCGCAGTACGTGCCGACGACCCGTGGCCGTGAGGGATCCCGGTACGGCCCCGCGCTTGTCCTGGACGGTGTCCGGCTTCTGTCGACGTGTTTTGTCATGACGCGGTCGACGCTGGTGTGTGGCGGGGGTTCGTGCGCTGCGATCCTCGTGGAGCGTGGCCTCGGCGTGAACCTGTCCAGCGTCTTCTACATGGACAACTGCGTTATTAGGTCGCGGAAGCACGTGATGTACGCTCTTGCGTCGGACCTGCGTGTTGTTAGCGGCTCCGTGTTCTCCATACAGAACAGCTCGTGGATTGCACCGAGCACCGAATACGACAAAGGCGCGTGTGTGTTCAAGGATGTTGTGGTGGATGGCGGCAGCGTAATGCAGGTTGTGTCCAGCACTTTCCGTCTCGGCCTCGCCATGCTGATGGCAGCCACGCTGACCGTGACTGGCGGCAGCTGGCTGGTGCATCGCAACAACGAGTTCCGCACCGCCTACGTTGTGTACGTGGCCGCCCACCACGGCATGGTGTTCCGCGATCAGAGCGTGTGGTCGATACTTGACAACAACCTCACGTACGGCTCCTATTCGTCGACCATCGCAAATATGACAACCAAGTGGTCACCACCATCCGACACGCGCCCGACCATCTACGGCATGTGCAACGAGGCAAGGGGCTCACCTGTGACGAATTACCAGTACGACCTGAATATTGGGACGCCCGTGACGGTGCTGGACTGTGGTGCGTGCACGGTGGACGCCGTGTGCTTTGCAGCGAGGACGAGCAGCATCAGCGGCTGTGAGTGCGTGTGCGCTGCTGGCGGCTACGGTGACACGTGTCTGCCGGCTGCGGTTCCGGACGGC